AAGGGTCCAATTTAAAAATTAGAGTTGAACTGACAATCATCGTGTTTAAGTAGCTAAAATCCCGTAACCACGTCGCTTAATGTAAGAAACTAACAACCTTTTTTATTTCTAATTTCACCCGGCTAGCTCTTTACAGTTACCTAGAACTTGACATGCAGTCGTCTTTTACATTTGTATAAAATAAATGCTTAAACTCTTTCTTTATTTTTTTATAACCGCAGATTAATATTGAATCAGTAGCTGACCTTAACTTCGCTGATATGAGCTGACCCAGAAGCCCTCACAACGGAGCGGCCCTGATGCTAATGCTGGCTCCATGTAAAAAAATTTTCGTACCAGTCCAGCTGCAAAAAACTGGATCCAGTCACTGTATTAACGTAAATCTATCATTAGAGTAACTTATGTGATGTCGTTTTGTCTATCTTCTACCAGATTTCAATTAAATCATTTTCGAAACATAACATTTAAATTAGATTCAAATATCAAACTTATCTCAGCTCGCCTGCTACACATAAACGCCTCCATCTATCTGTGCAACAGTGATAAAATAAGCGGTGGCGGGCAGGCAAGGCATTGCTACAACGAAACGAAGGCACCGCCTGTCGCCCTTGACGTGACGCCACACAAACTGTTACGTTGCCCACGCAAATATTTAATGTTTATTTATGTATGTACCCCCCTTTAATCCGTAGTTACGCAGCCATTGAAGAATCCATCGTAACAGCACGTCGTCCTTGAACTGAAGTAACACGGCGTGCACTGACAGCAGCTACCTACGTGGTGAGAGCGGCCTAGTCATAATGTTAATGTATGCACATTATGAAAATAGATCATTAGTTGATTTGTGTCTTTTCGTGCAGATTTTTCTCCGTGCCTCCAACTTATTGAAGACACACAGTGAAATAACACTATACCTTTCGGTGGTCTTGTGTTTCTGATTCTGACGGCGATTTAGGTTCTAAGGCACCACGGGATAGGGGATGGAGTCAGGGTAAGCAACGGCTACAGTGATATTTTGGTACCGCAAGCGGCTATCAATCAGGCTATGGCTGCCCCTTACCATCAGGCGTAAATATGCTGTCAACTTGTTACAAAAAGGAAAAAACAATACCTGCATTAAAAAATGTCAATATAAATATTTTTTACCAATTAATTCTGAAAATTTCATTCTTCTTCGTCTTTCATTCAAATTATGAAAAAAAAAACTTTTGAAATTCATATTCATAACTTTGCAGACAGACGGACAAATATACGAAGGTACTTTCGGATTTATAAGTAGTTATAATATGTTAGTAACACGTTGAATGTACTTAAAAAAGCTCGCAAGCAGATCGATAAGCATTTAATTTGCAAACACAAAGCCAATGTAACAGGGGACGGATGCAAAAAATTGTTTGGCCATTGTAGCTTTACAAGTCGTTTGGAAGTTGGCTAACTGATAATGCTGTGTAAGCTTCATAAATTATAACATACAATAGCATAGATTAAATGGAAAAATCTGCAATAGGCGGATAAAATAATATCTACGTCATGCCACTTAATGTGTTAGGAAATAATTTAATTATTGTATATTATGTATTTCTTTTCCTTTTATAATTATTAAGTAAAAAACGCTACCACCATTAGGTACTTACTTATATTAAGCAATAAAAACTTTTTAACTTTATTATTAAGCACAAAACATGGATTTCTCTGTTTTCTGTAAAATACTTTGTTCCTTGTTGGTTCGGGAGGAAAATAAAATATTATCTATTTTGTGAAAGAAAGCGCAGTTCCTAGAAGCCTATCGACAGGACTCACCCTTAAAGCTCAAAAGAAGAAATGGACTACTCTTATGCAAACAGCATAGGTATTCTGTAAGATGCAATCTCAGGTACGATCTCATTTATTCGGATTTCTGATAAATGTCGAATATCTAATATGTACTGGCTGCTTGTACAGACATAGCGACATTTTGCCGTCTAATGGCGTAATGCATATCTAACTTGCATGCATGTCTAAAATAGCAGCTACCGAAATCGGAAGTGAAATTTTATTTTAAAATCACCCTACTTTTATTGTTTCTGGAAAATGTGCACTATACTTATTTAGCAAAATTAAAATTTTAAAAATAGGTTGAATAGAAGGAAGTAGGATTCTGTATATTCCGATCACTTTGTTGTTCATTCGTCCGTGTCAAGACCCTTTTTCTCATGAACACCTGGAGGTTCAAGCTGTAATTTATATCAAATACTCGGTCTACACGCTCTTGGAGCTGTAAAAAAAATCAAACTTCTAAGCCAACGCAATCAAAAGATGCAGCCGTTTATGCCGCAACTTTTCGAAACTTGCAAGGGTTGATAAACCTACAGGGTACTTCCCGCGAACTCAGAATCTTTAAATTTGGTACGAAGCAACGTTTGATAGCACAGATAAAGGAAAATTTGCGGAAACCGTAAGTTTTTAGTTACATCACATATTTTACGGAACCCTCGGTGCGCGAGTGCGACTCGCACTTGACCGGTTATTTTCTAGAAATATTTTAACAATGAGCTAAGCATATCATGTTATGCTGCCACCTTAGCGTGTGCCAACGTATTTAGTAACAGCAAGGCAAGCCAGCTAACGCATCTCAATTTGCGCAATGCAGATTGAAACACAAGGAAATGGCCGAAGTAGAACAGTAAACAGCTTTTCTAATAATGGAATGTTAATCAAACAGTACGAACGAACGAACAAACAGTGCGACTAGGATTCGTGGAATCACAACGGGTTGTATGGCAGCAGAGGCAAGCAATTGCTATGATAATTAAAGGCTGATTAACTTGTGCTTTTATTAAAATTGCGTTCAATTATATTCACAACAAGGACACAAGAATTTCCGTCACCGCCACAGACATTCTGCCATTGTTAAAAAGATAGGATTTTTAACACGGACAAGGCATATTTTCAGGATGATGTTGTGACTGCCCCGCTGAATGCATGCATGCAATGCATCCGGAATGTTTTCTGAAACTCGAACTGATGGTTTCCATGTTTCCATTCGATGAGTTGGCAAACTATCATATGTATGTGTTAACACAATATTTATCTCTGCTACTCCCACACCTATAATAAATATAAAATAGCGTGAATGTTGTGGCTCTTACATATAATTATTACTGTCCAACCGAAATAAAATATTGTAACGTCTGAACGATGGCATTGTTACCTACAAGTCAATATCTTTGAGTGAAGCTGAATAATAAAAGTATAAGTAAACCAGTTTTTTTTTGTCATTTGCATGAAAGGTATTATTTATATATGAACTGTATACATTCCATGTTATGATGAATAGCCATAGTAGTTACCATTTATAACGACGTGATGGTGTCAAGACGTAAACGCAGCATGCCTACGGCGACCAGCCTGTATGAAGGCGTACGCGGCATTGACAGATTTGGTGCACCATTAGTGTAGAACTTTCTAGGTTCCAACATTACTATATTTCTGTACACATTATCTGAATGCTTATGTACTCGTATAGAAAGATTATTATTTTCGCGTCGGAATCTCGATCTCGTTGACGCCCCGGTGACGGCCGCGGTGAACTAACGCTATTAGGAAGTTAATTCCCCTGACGAGCGCTCCATTAACAGTAGAAAATATGCTTCCTCTCCTTTTTAACCAACTGTACTGTTTAACCAAACATAAAAATGAAACGCAGGAAGGTAGAGATGGATCGCATGCTTGTTTAGTTTTTGTGGCTACAACTCAATCATAATTAGTAACAGATACAAGTGCATCAGGTTTTTACGTAAATTATGTTTGTTAAGAAGTGTAGCTACTGCAATACCGGACATTTCTCGTTCGGTGTGCGCGTAATTATGGGAGCCCATTCCACTTACATGGTAAACTGCCGAGAGAAACACTTAAGTACCTCCTACTCTATATTTTATACATAACTACAAATAAATAGTTGTATGCCGATTTGTACAAGTATTTTGAACTTTATCCCGTAACACTTACGTTACGGGATTTTACTTACTTCTTATAGCAAAAAACGTAATGACCTTTTCGTAATTATAAAATACACAGAACTTCGTTAATCGATTGATTCATTTACTTTTTATTGTAATTATCGCTACGCTGCAGCGCTATATCTTACTTAAATTAAAGAAAATGTAGCACGATTATAATCCAACAAAGTCAACGACTACAATGATTTATGTAATCGATAAGCAAGAATAGCGAAGAAGCCGTGAGAAACTGAATACATTAAATTGCCTTCAATGCTGGACCAGGGAACCAAAGAAATAAATGAAACATTATTTTAAGCCGTAGTGGATTACCCCCTCAAACTGGATCGCCTGCCTGAGCCTGAGGAGGTAACCACCGCTGTAACAGAACAGAAGACCAGAGTAAGAAGAAGTAAGAGAGAGTAAGAAAACCCTCCTATTTAGGGTTCCGTACACAAAGGGTCGAATCGGAACCCTATTGCTGTCACTCTGTCCGTATGGCACGGGTCTCTAGATCGAAAACAGAATTGAAATTTCGGTATTTTATATAGATTCTTTGGGTAAGGGTATTGTTCTGTTTGTATGTAATTTTGTTAACAAGCTTCAACATAAGTAATCAGACCATATTATCGTCTATAACTAGAAAGCTCTCCAATATTAACGTTTAAATTTCTGTCGTTATCGGCCTCTGGACAGTGTGTTGAATTTTATTTTTATGGGCGCTCACTTTTTGCATTGATTATTTAAAATCTCACACTTCTTATCATCATCTAATTAGTCATAAGTAAGTAATTGCATCCGTGCAACGCCTGGCGTGTCGCTTTATAGGATGAAGAATGTAATGAACACTATTGTTGTATACTAGAGCGGCGATAACTAATATGTTCTTAATGCGGGTAAACGTAATTCATCTCGGAATAAAATCTCGCCATGTATGGACACGCTTGCATTTTTCTTGGTCAACTTTCCGGCACACTGGTCATAACACAAACGAGCTCTATTAAATAAAAAAAAAATGGCTGCTGATAATTCTTTATTTAAAATTACAATTTTGACAATCACAGAAGGTTAAACTTAAAATGTCACTAAAATTAATTACATTATATAAAGGTGGATACTATCAGGTGGTTTTCTTTCCGACGGATAAAAATCCCGATGTGTTGGAGAAGTATTTTGCATTCGCTTCGTTCACTCTTGTTTCAGCTGCCTGCGGATTCACTATCTCCAAACCCTGCAACAATATAATATCATAAATATTTATATCTCCACTTATTGGACATAGGCCTTTCCTCTGGATAAAATAAGGAGAATGATCAGACATTGAAAGGGTAACCAAAAACTTATTATACCGAGCTCCTCCGTGCGTTGGTCTCGGCTGCATCTGCAGTCGTTAGCTCCCAATAATCCACACTGGGCCCGTGGTGGGTCACGGGCCAGTCCCCCATTCCCTCCATAGGAAAGGCCTGTGCCTCTCAAGTGAGGACATTAATAGGCTGATGAAGATGATCCATGAACCACCACGCGAACTCAGTGCGGATTGGTGCGTACCAACGACTGCAGGTGCACCCGGGACCAACTGTTTATTAACATGACTTGCGAAGCAAGAAGGAGATCGAGTTAATAAATGAACCCATCACCCATCCAATGACCCATCCAATGACCAGCAGCCATTGTGAAAGATGCTTAACTGAATCGATCGCAGAACGGAGTAGCTAACCACTGCGTCACCGCGCTATCCGTAACACCATAAAAAGCTACAACTTCACAATCTCATACCTACTAGAGTTAATATGAAAGTGGTGTCAATTCTGACATGATTCTCTAACTTAAAACTGAATTTAAGATCAATCTGTTCTTTTCATTCTGTATCGAAAATGGCAAGTATATACTGTTGTCAAATTTTATCTTAAGTTTAGAGAATCATACCACATCATCTACTTGGATTTCCACGACCGGAAAATTAAAAAAGTTTTCGGGACGATTTTCCTCTTATTATTCGAATTCTACTGTACATTCAGGCTTCATTTATGTCTTAAAACAAACGTGAATAGTTTCTGTGCAAACTTATCTATATATTAGATGAAAATAAAAACTTTACTAAATATGATAAAATGAAATATATGAAAAATGAAAAGATGAAAATATTTTTCTCAACTCGTAGCAGAAATCATCCACTTACACAGCTATAAGGGGATAATCAATATTCAATCTAAAATAAGCTGAAACGCCTTAATTCATTTTAAAATAATTTCAACAACATAAAGGAAAAATATAAATAGTTTAATACTTTTTATTAGGCTAAAAGGTTCCCCAGAAATTAAAGCTCACGCTAATAAAAAAGATTTTATTTTTTTTACGAAAAATATAACAATTATATTCAATGTACCGACCGTCCGATCACCCACATTAAGATGAATGAATGTTCAAATCTTACTCTAAACTTTGTGTTTCTATACACCACGGATGATGTAGGTATGTATCCGGTAATCCGGACTCGATCTAATCCGGCGCCCCCTGTAATCCGACTCGCCTATCATTGTTGATTGTACATAAACATGAATTGAAATGTTAATCCTTTTTTATTATAATTTGTCGGAATACTAGGTACTTTACTCGTGTTAATAAAAAATCCGGACTATAGGGCAGTGCTCCATAATCCGACATCGTTATGCAAAACGTTTGTCGAAGTACCGCGAGTCTACTGTATTTATCTTGTTGTCATTTTATCTTATTGTGATAGAATTTCCTATTTTCACTGTTTAAATAACTAAGTGAGCTGCCAAAGCTTCCCTATTCAAAAGTTTCCTTACGCAACCCTTATCAACAACAGCTTTTCAATAAATCAAGTACTGATCTAGTATTAAAGGCAATACGAGAAAGTATATTTAATAATGTGACAAAGTAAAGACAAGAACACACTAGATTTATTATCATATTTCAGTGTTAAACTTTTAATTTATTCCAAAAATCATTGTATAATGAATAAAGCATAGTACGGTTGAGCGTGTTTCAGATTTCATCCCCTTGAAGTTGAAAGCCGAAACAAACTGAAATAATTTATGAAATAATTTGCGAACAACCGCGAATTCGTCCGCGTTTACTTTAAGTTACGTTTTCCCGGGATAACAAGGATCCTATGTCACAATCCAGGTGATAATCAAATCCGTTCAGGCGTTTTTGCGTGAATGAGTAACAAACTTACACAGTTATATTAATAGTACCTAGGAGTAGGATAAACATTACAGTATACTGTTACCGTACTGGTATATCTACCGAGAAATCAAATTAGATCTTCAAGTACCCTATTCCTGAGGTTATTGTATCGTGCTTTATGCTTTCGCCCTTAGGTTGAAGGAAGGGATAATGTTTATAAGGAACTCCCAACCCGGTACTTCCGCGTTAGTCGCGGCGAGGTGATAACACCGTCTCACTGGACTGGTTATCACTTGTCACTGTCACGTCATCATTAGACAGACGGTGATAGCCGTAAAAGTAAATTAATAATCTCTTCAAAAGACACTCTTACGCTAAAATTATAAACGTACCTAAGTATGATATAAATCCAGACAACTCAACAATTATTTAAGTAGTCGGCAAATATGCAACTTAAGACTGTGATTTCCTTAGAATTACTTCTCGTTATATAAAACCTTTTGACTTGAATTACAAATGAAATATTTCCCATAAACTACAAGTGTTAAAAAAAGAGAGACAAGAGACAGATAAATTTAGGCCAACTTGCTTCATAAACCAAGCTAAATTCAGTTGGAGCCAATACTCTATCATCAACTGTTTCAAGTCTATCTGAAGATAGAGAGAAATGTTAACTTAATTTTATTTAAAAGCAATTTCAGTACGTTGGTATTTTAATTTGAGGATTTTTTATTACATCTTATTTTTTCGAAACACGTATGTCAAGTTTCAACTGAAGCACATTGCATTCAGGATTGTTCGTGATCACCGCGGTGGGTGCACCGCGTACGGATGCATGGCTTAATGACAATGCTTTTAAAGAGGCTCGTCTTCGAACAGTCGCCTGAGAAAGTATACTTCACCTTACAGAACACTGAGTAAAAGAACAGAGTCGAAGAAACTACAGAAATACAATGTCATATTCCTGTTATAAAATTGCCAGAGCCGCCACGAAAAGAATAAGTGTCAATTGCCCCGCCCTTTCTGAAGGAAGGCAATATACAAGTGATATCTAAAGCGTATGATGACTGTTCACTGTGGCGGGTTATAGCCTTCTTTTTAAACCGATGCGCGTGCACCGCGTGCATTGATATCTCAGCCGGTCTATCGCACTACAATGATGTCATCGCCAATGCATTCATGTGTAGCATGTACACACATTTTCATACATATCTTACTAAGTCAACATGCGTAACGTGACTGAACACAGCAATAGAATAGCGCCTTTATGCAAAGTAATGAAAACAAACAACCGACTCTCTCGGTGATCTCTCCAGTGCTTCAAATGTTTCCGTGTCGAGTGAAGAGACATAGAAAGTGGACATCATTTCGCCGCTAACGACAGGCAACCACATGCGGTGGAGTGTCCATCTAAATGCAGTGATACGCGCGCACTGCAGCGGCCAACGGCTTACTTACCCACTCAAGTAAGCCAATGGCAACAAATGACCATTAATTATTCGCTTCCGAGCGAGAATCTCACTCACAGCGTTCACAATTATCTCCCACTGCTACTGCAATTCGATTAAACATCCAACTATACGGCGTTATTTCCCTCCGACTAATTCCTGAATGTATACTGTTTCGAACGGCCTGCCGTAAATATGTTAGCGGCATAAGTACAGTTTGATCATTGTGCAGTTTACATTAATGGGTTGTATTGAATATGAAATCGATTTAGCATCAAACGCATGCTACGGCTCGGCAATATCGAATTCAATAAAACTTCCACTCCCTTATTAAATTAGTGCAATCGGAGAGTTTACTGTAAGTATAAATTAGTAGGTAATATTGATCATTAGAAATTCATTATGTTATATTAATTGTGAAAGTCGTTCTTAACAAGAGTAAACTATAAGCTTTTTCTGTTATCAAATTAATTAAATATTAATTAACTATGGTACATATTTCCGATAATATCTTTTTATATTTAGTATGAAGGCGATAGATTGGCAGAGACTATCTGCGACTACATGAATTTCAGAGTACTTTTATCTTGGCTATATTCCCGCACCCACCAAGGACATGTCGCAGAGTTTTTTACTTAGTAGATTCAGTTACGAAAGCCATGTTTTAGTAGTACATTTTTCTCAGTGCCCAAAACAGTTGTATTCCTAATCTTTTAATAAGGAGGTTCGAATGTGTTACTTGCGGCCTCACTCAGAAACGTCAAATTAAATTTTATGCTAATCAAAGGGACGTGTTCCCATGGGCGAACCTAGAAGCCTCAAATCCTACCCTAAAATTCGAGTGTTAAAAATGTCTGCACACAATGAATGTTAGTTCAACTAAACGGCTGCCCTGGGAAAATCCCCTAGCTGCGCCAATGCGTGTTGTCTCATTTTAATCAACTTAAGCAAACTTAATAATTTCAGATAAGGCTATAAATTAGCACTTTAAAGAGATCGTGCATTATTAAGATTATATTCTTCCGGCGATGATTATTTCATAAATTAAAGCAAACGGTGATGTCATTTTACATTTAAAATTAACATTTTATAACAAATTTTATTTGTAGAAAATCAATGAATCTCCACTAATATTTTTAATGAACAATAAATATTTCTTAAATAAAATAAAACATTAACTACAGTAATAAAAGCACAATTATTCAGAAATAGAGAGCGTCGGTCGTCATTTTCCTTTGCACATTTATTGCGAGAATAAACTTTCGCGGTGCAAATTAAACAATCTAAATCACATTTAAAACGATACATAAAATAACATTCTCAAGCCGAAAGCCTTTGAATTTGTGTTAACGGTTCAGCATAGCATTTAGATAGCTAAACTTGTACTATGGCTGTATATTAAACTATTTTAAAATCGATGTTAGAAGGTAATAATCTCTCTGATTGCTATCTAGCAGTGTAACGGTTCTGGGTGGCAGGTTAACTCAAGCCAGGAGGGCAAGCCGGTAATAACCCTTGCTAATAACTGCTGCACAAAATGCATTTATCTCGCACAGGCACAGACGCGAAATCGAAAGGTTCGTCATTTTAAAGTGTATGCTTCCACTAGTGCAAGAATCAATTATAACAA